TTTTTTCCGGTAATTGTCCCTGGGGTTCATGTCCAGTGCTATGATATCGGGCAGCCCGTCGTTATTAATGTCTGCTATGTCCTGGCCCATTGCATTGGAGGCAGTATGTTTTAAATAGCTGCGTACCTGGTCAGTAAAGCTTCCGTTGTGGTTATTGATGTAAAGAATATTATTTGACAGAAAATCATTGGTTACATAAATGTCTTTCCAGCCATCATTGTTGATATCGCAGATGTTCACGCCATGTCCATACCCTTCTATGGTAATGCCTGCCTGCCGGGAGACGTCTGTAAATACGGGATGCCTAAGACCGGTGTTCCAGTCGTTGCGGAATAATTTATCGGTACTGGGATTTTCGCCGTGCAGCTGAACAGGGCGGAATTTATTGGGGAAATCATCCTTCCGGATTTCATTTACCAGCAGGTATACATCCAGGTCACCGTCGTTGTCATAATCAAAAAAGCTGGCCATGGTAGTGTGCGAGGTGTCACTGAGTCCATATTCCCTGGCCATATTTTTAAAATGAGGCGTACCGTCTTTATCATTACCGGTATTGATGTAGAGCATATTTTCCCGCAACAATGGATTTTTCGACAGGCTGGCGCTGAGGTAGATATCCATTAACCCGTCGTTATTGATATCAACGGTACTAACGCCCCTGCACCAGCGTCCTTCTCCCGTTACGCCGGCGGCCCCGGTAGCGTCTTTAAATGCAAATCCTCCCTTGTTGAGGTATAATTTACAGGGAACCCCGTTGCCGGTAAAATAGATGTCCTGCAGGCCGTCGTTGTTAAAGTCTGCGATGCCCACTCCACCGCCATTGTAAATATTTTCTATGTCAAGCACATTAAATGAATCGTTGTCAATAATGGTATTATTGAAATCGATACCCGATTGCTGGGGGCTGATGGGGATAAAAAGGGTATTGTTTTGTTGTGTGCAGCCGGTAAAGAGTACGGCCAGCATCAGAAAGGCAGCAAATATTTTCATAAGCAGCTAAAATTACATAAGTGCCGTAAAGATAAATTTATTTAGTACCGCATTTTCATGCAGCTGGCATGTAAAAAAGATATTCTTTAAATGCAAAGAGGTTGTTCAGAAAACTGAACAACCTCTTTGGTATGTATTTGTATTACCCGGTCCGTCTAAAATTAATAACCAGGATTTTGTTTTAAAGTGGGTTTGCCATCTTTTAAGCTGTTTGAAATAGCAAATTCAGGAATTGGCAGGTATTCGTGTTTACCTTTTGTAAATACAGAGCCGGCCAATGCACTTGCCCTTCTTACGCCTTCTTTTGGAAAATATTCGGTATTTAATACCACATCGGCAATACCCCAGCGCACCAGGTCAAAAAAGCGGTGTCCTTCCATACCCAGTTCAAGCTTTCTCTCAAAGCGTACTGCTTTCCTTGCTTCTGTTTTGTCTGCAAAAGGAACAGTATACTGGCTTACCACATACGTGGCAGCATTGGAGGCGCCGTTCAACACAGGTGAAGCTGCTGCTCTTGCCCGTACACGGTTAATATAGGTTTGTGCAGTTGCCAGGCTTCCTACTTCAATTTCTGCTTCAGCAGCCATTAACAAAACGTCTGCAAAACGCATAGGTGTGTAGTTAAGCGCGTTATTGGCAAAGCCCCAGCCAACAGTACCTGCCAGGCTGCCGATATCTGCTTTGTAATAGGTATTCTTCTTGGGGCTATAAGGACCGCCATAAGTATAGTCGCGGATCCACGCTCTTCCCGGGTGAATACCCCAGTCGTAGTAAGGAATGCCTCTTCTGCCTACTGTCCAGTCAAGCCTTGGGTCAAGGTTGCCTGCATAAGGTACAAACGCAGGGTTGGCAGATGTGAATGGTTCATCACTGGTAACGTCTACATCGTTGTAGGTATCTGGTAAAGGTAATCCTGCAGCAGAAGTGCGGAATGAGTTTACCAGGTTCTGTGATGGTTGGAAAAATCCGCAGCAGGCGCCTGGTTTTTCTGTAGTGGCACTACCGCCGTGGGGATAGTTCAGTGTATTATCATAATTGCCGTTTGTGTTGGCACCATCTCCGTAAGAAGCCTGAATAGAGAATACGGTCTCTTCATTGTTTTCTGTAAATACACGGAAATTGCTGTGGTAATTGGGCGTAAGGCCGTATTTCACGCCTTTGCTTGTTTTACCATTGGCTATGATAGCATCAAAAAGTGTTTTTGCTTCAGTAAACTTGTTCTGGAACATATAGGCCTTTGCAAGGTGAGCGGCAGCGGCCCATTTGTTGGCCCTTCCAACATGCGGTCTTACTTCGTCAAGATTATCATAAGCAAATTTGAAATCTGCTTCAATCTGGGGCCAGATATTAACATAGGTAGCGCCGGAAGCATCTGTATTGGGCACTTTGAAGTCTGTTACTTTTTCATCAATGAAGGGAATATTGCCAAAGGCTTTTTTACCCTCAAACAACATAAATGCACGGATGAATTTAGCTTCTCCTTCTACCTGTTTGGCATCAGCGGCAGAAATGTCTTTTACCAGTGGCAAAACTTTTAGTACCTGGTTGGCACCGCCTACACCATCCCAAATGGCGTTCCATTTGTTGGGCAGCTGACCTACGCTGGGCAATAATTCAAAACGCATAATAGGATTGGCATCAATCATGTCGGTGAACTCGGTTCCTTTGTAAGCATCACCACCACGGATACTGCCCCAAAGCCAGTTGCTGGCGCCGCCATTCTGCTGATCCTGGATACCATCCAGCGTTGCATAGGCGTTAATCAGCATACCATCCAAACCTTTTTTATTGGTTAAACTGGCCAGGTCATATACTCCTTCCGGTAATTTTTCCAGGAATTTTTTATTACATGAGTAGACAATGGCAGTGAGCGCAAAAACAGACGTTATAATAAATAGTTTCTTTTTCATGTTTTTTGTTTTCATGCTGATTTAAATTAAAATGTTACACTTATACCAGCTATATATTGTTTAGGATTGGGGAAGCCTCCAAGGTCAACGCCAATGTAGTAATCCCTCGCACCAAATGGGTCGCGTGATATCTGGCTGATATCAGGATCAGAACCGGTGTACTTGGTGATAGTGAACAGGTTCTGTGCCTGCACATAGATCTTAACATTGGAAAGTTTTGCCCTTCCTACCAGTTTTTTAGGCAAAGTGTATCCCAGTTGGATTGTTTTTGCACGCAGGTAAGAACCGTCTTCTACATAGTAAGAATTGGAAGTACTGGACGTAAAAGAAGTTAAACCATTGGATGCGCCTACACCCAGCGCAGGTAATTTGGCATTGGTGCGGGTAGGTGTCCAGCTGTCGTTCAATACCCTGGTGCTTACGCCGCCCACGAATACACGCATGTCTGTGTAGTACTTCGTGTAGTTGTAGATTTCATTGCCCTGGTTCCAGAATAAAAAGGCAGTAAAGCTGAAGGCTTTGTAGTTAACACCCAGGTTTAGACCCATCTGGAAATCGGGGTGGGGGCTACCCAGGAAGGTTCTGTCTGCATCAGTGATTTTTTTGTCGCCGTTCAGGTCTTTGTATTTCCAGCTGCCTATAGTAGCACCCGGCATAATGGCGCCAACGGTATCTGCAGCAGTATTATAGAAACCATCTATTACAAAACCATGGTAAGAAGAAATGGGTTGCCCCAGTTCTGTTCTCAGTGCACTGCTCAACCTTTCCAGGCCAATTACCCTTGGAGAGTTTTCGTTGTTCAGTTTGGTCATGGTGTTTTTGTAGTGAGAGAAGGTTACACCTACATCAAAGCTCAGGTCTTTGTTTCTTGTTCCTTTGTAATTAAGAGAAATGTCGAAACCCCTGTTGCGCATAGTACCAATATTGATAAGGGGTTTGGTAATCTGTGGCTCCAGTCCGTTTCTCACCTGGTCAACCAGCAGGTCTTTTGTATTCTTATTGTAGATATCCAGGCTAAAATCAATTTTGCCGTTGAACAGGGTCGCGTCCAGACCAAAATTGGTGGTCTCTGAAGTTTCCCATTTGGTATTCAGGTTTCCTTCCCTGTCCTGCCTGTAACCCTGTGCAGAAGAGGTATTGTTACCCGCTATATCATAATTGGTGCGGGGTGGGTTAGAGGTAAATGTAGAAAATTGATTAGAAGGATTCACATTCGACTGGCTACCCATTTGTCCCCAGCCTCCCCTCAGTTTCAAATCAGTGAGCCAGGTAACATTTTTAAGGAAATTCTCTTCAGATACCCTCCAGGCTACACCAAAAGAAGGAAAGTTGGCATAACGTACATTGGGTCCAAATCTTGAGCTACCATCTCTTCTGAAGGTTCCTGTTATCAGGTATTTTCCTTTGTATGCATAGTCAAGTCTACCAAAATAAGAGAACAAAGAAGACCTGCCCACATTGTAATTGGAGATGCCACGGTCACTCAAACTTCCGGCTGTAGCGGTGTTTAAAGAGACAAAATCGGGTGTTTCAAAATCAAAGTTCTGTCCAAAAGCCCTTACACCCCTTGAATTGCCTTTTACGGCTTCTGTACCGGCAAGCAATTTCACATCGTGGTTATTAAACAGTGTTTTTTGAAAGGTCAGTGTGTTGGTAAAAGTCCAGTTGGTGTAGTACCAACCATCTTCTGTAAGTTGGGTGGTACCCTGGTTTTCAGAACGCTCATAGGTCTTTCTGCCGATGCTGCGGGTAAACTGGGTACCTGCATCAAGGCCAAATGAAGAGCGAAGGTTCAGGTAACTGGTGAATGGAATTTCTGCAAAAACGTTTCCGAATATTTTAGTGGCTTTATTGGTATTGTCCCTGGCACGCTCCAGGTTGGCAATTGGGTTGCTGCCGTTGCCGGATTCACCTACACCATTACCGCCATAACCACCTTTGATATCATATACAGGTATGTAAGGCACCATACGGAAAGCGGATGCCCAAGCATCGCCTTCGCCCCTGTTGGCGCCACCAAGGCGGTCTTCATAACTCACCTGCAGGTTTTCGCCAATGCGGAGGAAACTTACGGGTTTGAAAGCAGTATTCACCCTTGCGGTGTAACGTTTGAAATTGGTATTCACAAAAGTACCATCCTGGCCAAAATAGTTAAGGCCGGCAGAATAAGTGGCTTTGTCTGTTCCACCACTGGCAGTAATCTGGTGGTTGGTAAACATGGCAGGTCTTGTAAGCTCTTTGAACCAGTTGGTGCCTGCGCTGGTCTTGGAAATCTGGTAAAATGTACCTGAACCAATATTGTAAAGACTGGGATCAGCTTTTGGATCAGAGGCAGAAACGCCGCCTTTGAATGCCCCGCTGGTAATGTAAAAATCTGGAATGGCGAAAGAACCATTCTTTCCAAAAACCGGGTGCACATAAGACGCTGCCGTAGTCTTGGTTAAATATTCCATGTACTGGGTAGTATTCAGCATTTTCGGCATCATACCGTCGGTAACTACCTGGCTTCCTACATAACCATCATAGCTAAGCGAAGAACGTCCGCTTTTTCCCTGCTTGGTGGTGATAATGATTACACCGTTGGAAGCCCTGGAACCATAAATGGAAGCGGAAGAGGCATCCTTTAACACCTGCAGTGATTCAACATCATTGGGGTTAAGTTTGGAAGGGTCATCGGTAGGCACCCCATCTATAACATAGAGCGGGTCGTTATTACCTGCAGAAGCAAATCCCCTGATTCTTACCACCGCACCTGCACCGGGTTCACCGGCAGAACTGATGGTAACACCTGCTGCACGTCCCTGCAGCTGCACTGCCAGATTGGAAGCTGGTGTGGCTTGCAGGTCTTTTGCACTTACCACCGATACGGCGCCAATGATGTCTTTCTTACGCTGTGTGGTATAACCTGTCACAACAATTTCATCCAGGGCTTTTAACCTGGCAGCCAAAACAATGGCAATAGAAGTTTTTCCGCTGGTAGAAACCTCCTGCGGGT